CGGGGCTGTGGCTGCTCCTTAGCTGGCTGTGGCAGGATGGTGGTGATGTGTGTGGCCGGGCTCTTCTTCATTCCCGTCGCTGGCCTGACGGGCTTCCACGTGGTGCTCGTGGCCAGGGGCCGCACTACCAACGAACAGGTACATCCAGGGGACTACGGGGGTCTCTGCCAGCCTGGCCGGGCCACCTATGGATACATTTTGGGAATTCCCGGGAGAGGATGGTTGTGGAGGAGCTGGATTAAAACTGGGGGAGGCCTATGAGCTGGGGAGGTAGAGCACAGGATGACTATGGGGCAGCTGCATCCATTGGGGTGCAGTCAGAGGATGGAACTAGGCAGGCACTTCTGGGGCCCAGGAGGTGAATACCCTCTCAGTGGTTGCCGAGCACTGAAACAGGGACTAGGAAAAGGAGCAGGATCTCGCAGGATCTCTGTGCTGGGAGGTTGTCCTGAGGGAGTTGGCGTGGCTGACTGTGACACTCCTTTATCCTGCAGGTGACAGGCAAGTTCCGCGGGGGTGTCAACCCCTTCACCAACGGTTGCTGTAAGAATGTCAGCCGGGTCCTCTGCAGCTCCCCAGCCCCCAGGTGAGCCCAGCCTCTGCATCCCTGGAAAAACTGCTCCATCCCAGGCTCCAGGATATGACCTTCCTCCCACCCCCTCTCCAGGTACCTCGGGCGCCCAAAGGCCGAGCAGACCGTGCTGGTGAGACCCCCGTTCCTGCGGCCTGAAGTGTCAGATGGTCAGATCACTGTCAAGATCATGGACAATGGTATCCAGACAGAGCTGAAAAGGACAAAGGTGAGGAAGGTGGGGACCAGCGCTGCCTGCGCTGGGGCCCTCCACGGAGCCCAGGGGTGCAAGCCTGCATCCGTGAGTAGAGAACCGAGTGAGCCTGGTCACGTTCCCTGTCCCCCTCCATGTCGTCTTGTTCTATGTCCCTGTGGGATGGGAGCTGTCCCCCTCCCATGTGGCAGTGACCACATGAGGCTTTGCCCCCTTCATTGCCCTTACTGGTCCCATCCTTCCCCACACAGCACCCTCTGAAGGTTCCCCCTCCTTGGCACTTCCAGCACTCACCCGGGGCACATGCCGCCCCTGCTCTGTCGGATGGCCTGGGAGGCAGCGGGAGCCCCCAGCGCCGCTGTCCCTGCACTGCCAGCCCTGGGGGGCTGAGACCTCAGCCTCTCCTGACCCCACCTGCGCTTTGTCTCTGCAGTCCAAGGGGAGCCTGGAGGTGACGGAGAGCCAGTCTGCTGATGCCGAGCCACCACCCCCACCTAAGCCCGACCTCAGCCGCTACACGGGCCTGAGGACACACTTAACCCTGGCCACTACTGAGGGTAAGGAGGGCACCAGAGCCCTGGCAGCCGCTGGGAGGGGAGCCCAGGGCTGCACCAGGCAGGCCAGGAACCAGGGCCGTAGGGCAGACCTGGAGCACATCAGCATTCCTGGGCCGGTGTATGTGGCCCCTTGCACTTGGAGAAGCCTGCGGGATGCTCGCAGTCAGCTCTGCTCTGCCGGAGGCCGAGCCAGCATGGCGCTGCCTGGAGCCACCGGGAGCTGTGCCTTGCAGCCACCGCACTGCCAGGACGGAGGAGGCGAAAGTGGTGGCGGGCCTGGCTCAGCGGCACAGAGCGTCTGGGGCTGGCATCGTGTGGGCCTGGCCAGAGGTGGGATGTGATGGGCAGAGCCTGTGGCAGCTGCTTTTTGCAGCAGCTGGAGACCCCACAGCTCTCCCGGCCCTGCCTGGGGTCTGCTGCCCAGCCCTGCTGCCCGCTGTGGGGTGTGTGTGTCCCATTGAGCGCCCTGACACCCCTGTGCCGTGCACCCCCAGGGTGTCACCCAGCCAGGGCTGCCTCAGGAGCACGGAAGTGCCAGCCTCACATGTGTGGCTGTGGGGACAACACTTCCTCCCAGTCTGTCTCTCCCACCCCGGTGCACCTCCCCTCCAGCCCGTCCCTGCCCCCAGTCCATCCGCCCCAGGCTCGGTTCTCGGGCAGGGAGGGCAGTGTGTCCCGTGCCCGCAGCCGTCCTGAGCGTGCCCCTCTCTCCCGTCGCAGACAGCAGCTTGCTAGGCAAGGACAGCCCCCCAACTCCCACCATGTACAAGTACCGGCCCGGTTACAGCAGCAGCAGCAGCTCGGCGGCCCTGCCTCACTCCACCAGCGCCAAGGTAAGACAGCCTGGCGTGAAGGACCAGCCCCGAGGGGATGCCGCCCCATTCCTGGTTTGGGAAGGGTTTAGGGTGTGCATTGGGAGCTCCACAGGGGCCCCATAGTCATTCTGTGGGTAACTGCTCCCCCTCTGCCCCTCAGCTGAGCCGAGTGAACAGCCTGAAGGAGCCCAACTCCATCTGTGACAGCGGCCACAAGCCCAGCTACCGCTCGGAACCGAGCCTGGAACCCGAGAGCTTCCGCTCGCCCACCTTTGGCAAGAGCTTCCACTTTGACCCTCTCTCCAGTGGCTCCCGCTCCTCCAGCCTCAAGTCGGCCCAGGGCACGGGCTTTGAGACGGGCCACCTGCAGTCCATCCGCTCGGAGGGCACCACCTCCACCTCCTACAAGAGCCTGGTGAACCAGACGCGCAACGGCAGCCTCTCGTACGACAGCCTGCTCACGCCCTCCGACAGCCCCGACTTCGAGTCGGTGCAGGCGGGCCCGGAGCCCGAGCCGCCGGTGGGCTACACCTCGCCCTTTCTGTCAGCCCGCATCGCTCAGCAGCGAGAGACCGACCTGCACGGCCGCTTCGCCAGCGCTGCCTCCCCCAAGCACGCGGTGCCGCGCGAGCCCTCGCCCGTGCGCTATGAC